CGTCGGCGAGCTTCGCCGCGGCGGCCTCGGCGTCGACGAGGCGCGTCTCGAGGGCCAGGGCCCTTTCTTTCGCCTCGGCGACGTCGGCGACCGTCGCGGTCTCGCGCGCGGCCGTCGCGGCCATCTCCCGCGCGGTCGCCTCGCAGCGCCGCTCGGCGTCGGCGGCGTCCTCGAGCGCCTTGGCCGCCGTCGCCTCGGAGCGCGCCGCCGCCTCGCGCAGGTCCGCGGCCCGGCGCGCCTCCGCGGCCGCGGCCTCGGCGCGCGCGGCCGCGTCGTTCTCGGCGTCGGAGAGTTGCGCGCGCAGCCGCACGGCCCCCTCGTCGGCGGCGGCGAGCTCGGCCTCGAGGTCGTCGACGTAGCGCGCCAGCGCCCGCGCCGCGGCGCCGAGCTCTCTCGTCAGCTCGACGGCGAAGACCGCGACGGTCGCTCCCAACGCGGCCTCGTCCTGGAACACGAGCTCGCCGTTCTCGCCGCGCGCGTAGGAGCTGGCGATTTCGGGCCGCGCGAGGAAATTGGAGAAGTCGGACGTGATCGCGAGCTCGCGCGACGCGTCCGCGGCGCTGGGCTTGGACAGCGCCGTCGCGCTCTTCGACGCCGAGGCGAGCCACTGGTCCCGCTCGCCCTTGCCGTCCTCGGCGGACTCCGGCTCGTACTTCTCGAGGGCCGCGCCGGCCCAGGGCGCGCCGGGCTGCGGCAGGATCTCCGGGAACCAGGACCCCTGGCGCTTCCGCACCTGCCAGCCCCGGTTCTTCCAGGCCTCGCTCACCTCGCGCATCTTCTCCAGCGACTGGCTCACGGCGTCCGGCAGGTCGCCCCCGCCCTTGGCGCGCCGCCGCGTCGCGGAGGTGGGTCGCCGCGCGGGCGCCTGGAGGGCCGTCGCCAGCGCGAGCACGGCGAATCCAAAGTTTGGCGCCATAAGCATGCTCCGGCGAAGGCGAGGTCGATGTGGTCGCTTGGTTGAAACGATGATGCCGCACGCGAAAAGCCCGCCACTGCTCCCGAGCGCGGTCGTCGGAGCGCACACCTTAGCGTCGGCTCTTCTGGAGGCAGGCCCAGCGGTCGCTGTGGGGCTTGCGGTCGCGGACCCAGGCGAAGAGGTCGACGTCGAGCGCGTTGAGGCGCGCGACGTTCGCGCGGTCGGCGTCGTCGAGGCTGCGGAAGTCCTGGAGGTGGCGCGACTTGACGTGCTTCGAGCGCCGGCCCGCGCAGGCCGCCACGGCGGGCATCCACGCGTCGACCTCCGAGAGGTAGAGCACCGTCGCCTCGGCCAAGACCGCCTTCGCGACGCGGAGCACGCGCGACGCGTTCGCGTCGCGCTTGTGGTAGAGCGTCTCGTCGGCGATCTGGAAGACGAGGCGGTTCTCGATCTCCTGGCGGAGGAAGTCGGACCAGGCGGCCTCGCCGGCCTTGAACTCGTCGTAGAGCCACTTGGGCGCCTCGTGCAGCAGCCACGACGCGCCGCGCCGCAGGGGCTCGCGCAGGACGACCACAAACGTCGTGCGCCGCCGGCCGCAGGGCTGCGTGCCGAAGCGCAGCACGTCGTTCATGCAGAGGTGGCCGTGGAGGAAGACGTCGAGCGTCGGCCACGCGCACGCCTCGGCGAGGAGCCTCCGGTCCGCGGCGTCGAAGTCGTGCTTGATGCCCGTGCCCCAGGTCGGCACGACGTCGTTGGCCAGGTCGCTGAGCGTGCGCCCGCCGGACGTGGGCACGTGGAGGAAGACGCGGAGCTCGCCGTACTCGGGCTCCTCGACGCGGATCCGCGAGAGCTCGCGCGGCATGACGCTCCGCCCGAGGTCGCCGCCGCCCGGCGCCGGCACGCCCACGACGGACTCGTCGTAGTGGCCGATCATCGACTCGAGCGCCAGGAACACGAGGCAGAGCCCGCCGAGGAACGCGGCCCAGCGCAGCAGCGCCGAATCGCGCAAACCGGGCGGTCTCGGCAGGGCGGTGGCCGCCTCGTCGCGCGGCCGCGACCGGCCGCGCATGTGCTCGGCATGCGCCGGCGCGGCCACGAACCACGACGGCGCCTCGTCTGGACAAGGTAGCAAGCTTTCTGGCGCGGGCGCAGGGCTGCCCCGACTCGTTGCGCCGTTTTAGATGAAAGATGTTGCCGTGGTTGTTGCAGCTGAGAATTTGCCACTAAACGATGCTCGCTCTCCATGGTGCTCTGTCGCAAAACATAGTGCGTGCGACGCGCCGCTTCTCCAGTAGCAGCATCGTTACGCTCGCCTTCCGTCGTGGTCTGCCACAAAACGCCATGCTCGCGCGCGCTCTCCGTGCGACGCGCCGCGCCTTCTCCAGTAGCAGCATCGTCACGACGGAAATCACCGACGGCGTCGCGACGATCACGCTCAACGCGCCGGAGCGGCTCAACGCCATGACCGTGGAGATGGGCGAGGCCTTCGAGGCCGCCGTCGGCGAGCTGCGCGACAAGCCGCCCAATGAATTGCGCGCCGCCATCCTGACGGGCGCGGGCCGCGCGTTCTCCGCCGGCGGCGACCTCGACTGGCTCCTCGAGCGCCACCGCGACAGCCCGACGAACAACGCGAAGATCATGCGCGACTTCTACGGCCGTTTCCTGTCGCTGCGGACGCTCGAGGTGCCCATCATCGCGGCCATCAACGGGCCCGCCATCGGCGCGGGCTTCGCCGTCGCCTGCGCCTGCGATCTGCGCGTCGCGGCGCCGGACGCCAAGGTCGGCATCACGTTCGTCGGCCTCGGGCTGCCCCCGGGCATGGGGTCGACGCACTGGCTCCCGTCCATCGTCGGGCCCCAGCGCGCCAACGAGCTCATCCTCACGGGCGAGGTCGTCGACGGCGCCGAGGCCGCGCGGCGCGGCCTCGTGCTCCGCGCGGCGGAGGATCCCATCGCGGACGCGGCCGCGCTCGCGGCGACGATCGCGGCCCAGGCGCCGCTCGCCGTGCGCGCGGCCGTGCGCGCGGCGCGCCTCGTCCAGGAGGAGGGCCTCGAGGCCGCGCTGCGCCGGGAGGCGGACAGCCAGGCCGCGGCCTACGGGTCCGCGGACCTCGCGGAGGGCGTCGCCGCGCTCAAAGAGCGGCGCGCGCCCGCCTTCGCCGGCGTCTAAAAAAGTTACATGGTCTGGGCGCAGTAGTCGAAGTAGGTCGTGGCCATGGCGTCGAAGGCCGAGTAGTCGAAGGTGCCGTGGAAGGCGATCGCCGTCGCCGCGAAGCCCGCGGTGTAGAGCGTGCCCGTCGTGCCGTCCTCGGACGTGACGTGCGCGTGGTAGGGCGTGCCGCTGTGGTCGAGCTGGGACTTGATGTCGTCGAGCGAGTCCTTCGTGTTCGCCGTCGAGAGGCCGTGGCGGTTGTCCATGAACCGGTCCCAGCCGAGGTCCGGGCCCATCATCTTCCCGTGGAGCTCCTTGACGTACTCCTCCCAGTCCGCAAGGCCATGCCGTCGGCCCCGTCGCGGGCGTGGTCGTTCTGGACCATGCGGAACTCGACGGAGCCCTCGTCCTCGGGCGCGAAGAATTTCGACGTGGAGTACGCGCACGCGTGCGCGCGGCTCGCGGTCGTGTTCTCGCCGCCGACGAACCCGCGCTCGACGTCGACGGCCCAGCGGCTCGTCGCCTTGCCGTGGAGCCGGTTCACGAAGTGCTGCGCCGCGTCGAGGCTCGACGCCGGCTCCGACACCTTCACCAGCAGCAGGTCCGGCAGGCCGAGGTCGTTCACGGACCGGCCGTTCCGGTAGCCCCACCACGACCGCATGTCCTCCGTGGAGAAGCCGACCTTGAGCGCCTCGGGGCAGCTCGACGCCTCCAAGGGCTTGGCGAACTTGGCCTTCAAGTCGTCGTCGATGGCCGGCGCGTGGATCTCGACGACCGCGCCCGTATGGGGATCGTTCACGAAGAGCGCGTACGTCTTGCTCCCGTCGACGACATTGTCGTAGGACCGCCGCGCGTGGGGCAGGCCCATGGTCTGGACCTTGAGCGCGTGGAGCGTGAGGTCCGGGGCGTAGTAGGCCGACGACCGGTACGCGAACTTGTCCCAGGTCCAGGCCTCGTCGCTCATGTCCGCGCGGAGCGCGTTGAACGACTCGATCCAGGCCGCGGGCCGCGTCGGCCCCGCGCGCGTGCCGACGCTCAACGTGTCGAGATGGACGACGTTGTTCACGCTCGCCGACGTGCACGTGCTCGCGCACGCGGCGGTCGCGCCGCTCTCCGGATCCGCGGCCGTGTAGTTGTAGGTCGTCGCGGCGAAGCCGAGCACGTCCCTCTTGAAGGCGCAGCCGCCCTCGGGCGACAGCGTGATGCGGCCCGTCTCGTAGTAGATGAGCGACTCGTCCTTGAAGTAGTCGTCGTCGTCGGCGACGTCGCGGCAGCCCGCCGTGTCGCAGGACACGTAGAGCTTCGACGCGGCCAAGGACGCGACGGCGCCGGACCGGAGGGCCGCGGCGCCGCCGAGGGCGCAGGCCGCCGCGGCGGCGGCGACGCCGGCGCGCCGCCAGCGCCGCGGGCCGGGGGCCTCCCCGGGGATGGGCTCGTAGCTAGCCATGCGCAGCCCAATTTCACTGGTTGCGAGTTGCAGTGGATACCCCGTCGCTTGAACTTTTGCAAGCAACGACAAACTTTGAAGAAATCCTAGCTTCTAGAGGGCTAGAGACGGTGTCTCCGCAGGAGTATTTCAGCGGCCGATGATGGAATTTCCACCTTAGAGGGCCCCGTGCTCCTCGAATATGCAGCGACGTGCAACGATCCCAGTGGCTTTGAGGTCCGCAAACATGTGGGTGAGGCACATGAAAAGACGCGACATCCGGACGATTGCGAGGCGACGCAAACGGGCAGCCCCAGGGGGTGGAATGAGGCGCGGCAGCTTCCCCCGACCCGATTTTCGGTCCCCTTCGAGTCACAGAGCGTCGGGGATCGTTCGTCATGGGGGCGACCAGATGCCCTCGCGGCAGCTCTTCGGCTCGAGTGGATTTGATCGAGATCACCTCACCGGCTCCGGGAGGCGCGCGGCGCCGCGGGCGACACGGTGCTCACCACGCAATGCATGAGGCGAGACCTGCGACCAAGCCCGGACAGCCCCCTCGGGAGCGACATTCCAGGGGGTGTTTCCTCGGAGTTGGTCGCAGGTCTCGGACCTCAACACTAATGCGAGCCCCTCGTCGGTCGCCCCCCACCGATAACGGCCGTTCTCGACATCCACGGGCTGCCCCGACGCGAACTAAGTTGCTCGCCTTCGACCGATGGTCTTTCCCGAGCGACTCGCAGCCGGGCCCGAGGCGCGACATGGTCCACAGACCGAGCGCCGCGCCAAGTCCTGGAACCGCTGCATCGCGTGCCCAAACCTGGGCGAGGCGGTCTGGAGTCAACCAAGTGATGTCACGCCGAGCGTCAACATGGCAGAGTATCGACTGCAACTCGCAACCAGTGTTTCGAGCTCGAGCTGCAACGCGTCGGCACCATTACCCCAGACAGCCCAGACGGTGGCGCATCTCGATGGCGCATCGAGCGCGACCATGAGCGATGATGCCTGGGCCTGGTGGCGGTCCCTGGGCGCGCCGCGCTACGTCTGCGCGCCCATGGTCGACCAGAGCGAGCGCGCCTTCCGCGCCGTCGCGCGGCGCCACGGCGTGGGCCTCTGCTATTCGCCGATGCTCGTGGCGTCGGCCCTGGGCGACGCGAGCTACCGGGCGGCGTACCTGGACGCGCCGGACGCGCGGGACCGGCCCCTCTTCGTGCAGGTCGGCGGGTCCGGCGAGGCCTTCGTCGCCGCGGCCGCGCGCGTCGCCCGGGCCGGCGGCTGCGACGCCGTCGACGTGAACCTCGGCTGCCCGCAGTCGTGCGCGCGGCGCGGCGGCTACGGCGCGTTCACGGACGAGGACGACGCCGTCGCGCTCGTCGCCGCCGTCGCCGCCGCCGTGAAACCGACGCGCGTGACCTGCAAGATCCGCGCGGTGCCGGAGCGAGACGCGCCGCTCGTCCCGGACCGCGCGGCGACGGCGCGCTACGCGGCGCGGCTCGCGGCCGCGGGCGCGTCCTGCGTCGCCGTGCACGCGCGCACGCGCGAGGCCAAGGGCCGCGGCGCCGCGGACTGGGCCGTCGTCGCGGCCGTCGTCGCGGCCGTCGACGTGCCCGTGATCGGCAACGGCGACGTGAGGACGAGACGCGACGCGGACGCCCTCATCGCGGAGACGGGCTGCGCGGCGGTCATGAGCGCCGAGGCGCTGCTCGCGGACCCGCGGCTCTTCGGCGACGCCGCCGGCGGCGACGCCGCGGACGCGTGCCGCGAGTACCTCCGGGCCGCGAGACGGGACGACGCGCCGCCGCCCGTGTCCTGGGCGCGCGCGCACGTCGTCGCCGTGCTCCACGCGGCGCTCGCGGCGGACGGTGCCCTCGCGGCGCGCGTCGAGGCCGCGCCGACGCTCGCGGCCCTCGAGGACGCGCTCCCGGGGGCCGCGGGCGCGTGCGCCGCGGCGGCGCGGGGCCCAACGCCGGACGCGCTCGCCGCGGTCCTCGCGCGGGGCCGCGCGGAGCGGCGGCGCTGCAAGGACGCGCGCATGCGCAGCTCGGCGCGGGTGCCGGCGAAGCGGAAGGCCGACGGGCCGCCGTCGGACCGCCAGTGCGTCGCCATCGCGGAGAACAACCTCAAGCTCTGCGCCGGCGGCTGCGGCAACCCGGCGAAGCACGCCTGCGCGCGCGGCGCCTGCCGCGCCTGCTGCGGCGCGCTCGGCGGCGGCGCGGACTGCGGCCACCACGCGCCAAAGAAGAAGCGGCGGCGCGCCGCGGACCCGGACTAAGCGCCTATATCCGTCGGGACTAAGCGCCTATATCCGTCGCGCCGGCGGGAGACATCGAGCGGCGGCCCCGGGTTTCGAGGGGGCGCGTCGCCGTCATGGGCCGCGGGTGCAAGGGCGCGCGGCGAGGCGTCCTAGTCGTCGCCGTTGATCGCGTCGATGACGCGCTGCACGCTCGCCGCGCTCTCGCACTTGTCCTGGCCCTTCGTGGCCTTGGAGTGGATGAGCGCGTCGCCGAGGAAGACCTCGAAGCTGCCCGTCTTGCCCTCGTCGGACGTGAGCGTCACGGTCACGCCGGAGCACTCCTCCTCGATGGTCGACTGGAGTTGCTTGGCGTACTTGGAGTAGCCTCAGCTGCCGCAATACTGAATCGTCACCAGCGTCGCGTCGGACTTTCCGGCCGCCGGCGACTGCGGCGGCGCGCTCGACGGCGCCTGCTCGTCCGTGGAGCCGCAGCAAAACATCGTCTCGTCTCGCTCGATGGGGGCTGCGATTGGGCAGCGCTCGTGCAGAGCGGCATCGGGCTGGTGTTTGCTTCAGCGTTTGGCGCCACGAGCGCGTCGTCATGGCTCTGGCTCGTCGGAGGATGCCGATATGGCTCGTCGTCGTCGGCACCGTCTCGGCGTTCAACGGCGCACCGCGGCGGCTCAGCACGAACGCGCGGCGGCGACCCGGCGCGTTCACGACAAAACGCGCGACGCGGCGGCCCGCGGCGTGGCCGAGGTTCCAGCCAACGGCGGCGGCGCCGGCCGTGAGCCTCGGCGAGCAACGGCGGCGGCGGCGGCCGCCGGCGTGGGCCGCCGTCGCGCTCGTGTTGATGGCGTTTGCGGCGCGCGCCGGCGCCGCGGCCGCCTGGCTCGCCGCGACGCCCGCGCGCGCGGCGGCCGCCGCGTACGGCGCGGCCGCGTTCTCGCGCTTCGCGGCGTCGTGGCCGCTCTACTGCACGATCCCGCTGACCGCGGGCGTCTTCAACGCGCTGACGAACAAGCTCGCCGTGACGATGATGTTCGAGCCCGTGCGCTACCGGGGCCGGCGGCCCTTCGGCTGGCAGGGCATCGTGCCCAAGGCCGCGCGGCGCATGGGCGGCGACGTCGCGGACCTGCTCATGCGGGAGCTCTTGGACGTCGAGGCCATGGTGTCGCGCGTCGACGCGGACCACCTGGCGGCGCTGCTCGTCGACGCGCCGGAGGTCGTGGAGCTGGGCGTCGCCGCGTGCCGGAAGACGTTCCCGTCCGCGCCCGAGGGCCTCGTGCGCGCGACGCTCACGGCCCCGCGGCTGCGGCGCGTCGCCGCGGCGACGATCCGGGCCGTGCAGGCGAACGTGACCGAGGCCGTCGACGTGCGGCGGCTCTGCGTCGACCGGCTCTGCGACGACCCGCGCCAGCTCTGCGACCTCTTCCGCCGCTGCGGCAAGCCGGAGCTCGACGCCGTCGTGACCCTGGGCGGCTGGGGCGGTCTGCTGCTGGGCGTCTTCCAGATGGGCGCCTGGGCGCTCTACCCGCGCGCGTGGACGCTCGCGCTCGGCGGCGCGTTCGTTGGCTTCGCGACGGACTGGGCGGCGCTGAAGATCCTCTTCTCGCCCGTCGAGCCGCGGAAGATCGGGCCGCTGACGGTCCAGGGCCTCTTCCTCCGGCGCCAGGCCGAGGTCTCGGCGGACTTTGCGGATTTCGTCGCCGCGGAGCTCGTCGCGCCGGAGCACCTCTGGCGCGCGCTGCTCACGGGCCCGCGGCGCGCCGCGGTCGTCGACCACGTCGTCGCCGCGCTCCGCGCGGAGCTGCCGGGCCTCGTCGCGTCGGCGGGCGACGTGCCCGCGCAGCTCGCGGAGCTCGCGGACCGGGGCCTCGCGGAGCTCGCCGCGGACCCGGCGCTCACGCGGCCGACGGAGGCGTACCTCGCGCGCGCGCTCGACGTCGAGACCGCCGTGCGGGACGCCATGGCCGCGCTCCCGCCGGCCAAGTTCGAGCGCGTCCTCCACCCGGTCTTCGAGCAGGACGAGGCCACGCTCATCGCCGTCGGCATGACCCTCGGCGGGCTCGTGGGGCTGGCCCAGGTGCCGCTGTATTAAAGGGGATGGTTGTCTTGTAAGTTGTCTCGTGGACGCGTCACGACTCGCCGGCCGGCGCGCCGCTGAAACCGGCCGAATTACCCCCGGCGGCCAGCAAATCAGTTTGCATTATGGAGCCTGTCGAAGGTCGCGCCCGGCGTCAAGTATGTGGCGCGCGCACGGGAAGGCGTGACGGACATCGACGAGAGTGAGGCCGTGTCGACGCGCTCGACGCTGCGAAGACCGCGCGCGCATGGCCTCGTCGGAACGCGAGTTTGCGCCGCGCGGACCGCGGCGACGCGCGACGAACGTTGCCCCGACGTGATCCACCGTCGACGCAAAAGGGGGGTGTTCCGCGCCGCGAGCGCGTCGTACGGGGGGCCGGACACGGCCGACGTCGTACTGACAGAGAGCGTCGCGTCGAAACTCGAAATATCGCGACGTTCTTCGCGCCCCGCAGGCGCCATGGACGACGACAGCAACATGCCGCCGACGACGGCGGCGACGCCGCGCCTCATGATCGAGAAGATGGTCCTCGAGAACTTCAAGTCCTACGGCGGGCAGCGCGAGATCGGCCCCTTCCACAAGCGCTTCAGCTCGATCGTCGGCCCGAACGGCTCGGGCAAGTCGAACGTCATCGACGCGATGCTCTTCGTCTTCGGCAAGCGCGCGAAGAAGCTGCGGCTCAACAAGGTGTCCGAGCTCATCCACAAGTCGGACACGTACCCGGACCTCGACTGGGCCAAGGTGAGCGTGCACTTCGCGGACGTCATCGACCTCCAGGACGGCACGGACGCGTACGAGGTCGTGCCCGGCACGGAGGTCGTCGTGTCGCGCACGGCCTACCGCGACAACGGGAGCAAGTACCAGGTCGACGGCAAGACGGCGACGTTCCAGGAGGTGGGCAAGCTCCTGCGCAAGCGCGGCATCGACCTCGACAACAACCGGTTCCTCATCCTCCAGGGCGAGGTCGAGCAGATCGCGATGATGAAGCCCAAGGCGCCGTCGCCCCACGAGGAGGGCCTCCTCGAGTACCTCGAGGACATCATCGGGTCCAACTCCTACGTCGAGCCCATCGAGGAGGCGTCGAAGGACGTCGACGCCAAGTGCGAGGTCCGCCTCGAGAAGCTCAACCGGCTCCGCGTCGCGGAGAAGGAGCGCGAGGCCCTGTCGAGCGCCAAGGCCGAGGCCGAGGCCTACGTCGTCGCCGAGGACAAGATCCGCCGCCAGCGCAACACGCTCTACCAGGTCCTGCGCCGCGAGGCCGCGGCGAACGTCGCGCTCGTGGGCGAGCGCCACGACGAGCTCGCGGGCCGCCTCGCGGAGGAGCGCGCGAAGCGCGCGGCCATCGAGACGTCCCTGAGCGGCGACAAGGCCGAGGTGGCGGCCCTGACGAAGGAGCACGCCGCCGCGGCCAAGGCCGCGGAGAAGGCCGCGGCGAAGGCGAGCGACGGCGCGCGGCGCGACGCGGAGCTCCGCGAGGCGAAGAAGCACCAGGAGGCGGCCGCGCGCAAGCTCGAGCACGCGGCGAAGAAGGACGCCGCCGTCGCCGAGGAGAAGGAGGGCTTCGTCGCCGAGCAGGAGCGCGACGAGCTGCCGCGCCTCAACAAGAAGGTCGCGACGATGTCGACGAAGGCCGACGAGGCCGAGGCCGCGCTCGAGGCCGCGCGCGAGGTCTGCAAGGCCGAGACGACGGCGGCGCAGAAGGTCCTCGAGGCGAAGACGCAGGCGGACCTCGCGCCCGTCCAGGATAAGCTCAGCGAGGCCCTGAGCGCGCTCCGCGAGGTCCAGGACGAGCTCGACCTCACGCTCGACGGGTCGACGGCCGCGGCGAAGGAGCTCGAGGCCGTCGAGGCCAAGCTCGGCAAGCTCGAGGCCCAGGCCGGCGCCAAGGGCGAGGAGCTCGAGATCCACAGGGCCAAGGTCGAGGCCCTGGAGGGCTCCGCCGCGGACCTCCGGGCCAAGGTCGCCGACGGCGGGGCGCTCCGCGCGGCGGCGGACGCGGCCGCGCGCGACGCGGCCGCGGCCGTCCAGGCCGTCGAGGACGTCAAGGCCGCGCTCGAGCGCGGCAAGCAGACCAAGGGCGCCGGCGCCGTCGGCGAGGTGCTCAAGGCCGCCAAGGGCCCGCTCAAGGCCGCGGGCGTCTGCGGCCGCCTCGGCGACCTCGGCGCCGTCGACGCCGCGTACGACGTCGCCGCGAGCACGGCCGCGGACATGCTCGACCACGTCGTCGTCGAGACGGCCGCCGGGGGCCAGAAGTGCATCGAGTTCCTCCGCGAGAAGAAGCTCGGCCGCGCGAACTTCGTCGTCCTCGACCAGGTCAAGGCGCCCAAGCCCGCGGGCGCGACGCCCGACGGCGCGCCGCGGCTCTTCGACCTCGTCACGCCGAGCCACCCCAAGTACGCCGGCGCCTTCTACATGGCGCTCCGCGACACGCTCGTCGCCGAGGACCTCGACGAGGCCGTCAAGCTCGCGTACCGGCCCGACAACTCGCGGTGGCGCGTCGTCACGACGGACGGCAAGCTCATCGACACGTCGGGCACCATGTCCGGCGGCGGCGGCAAGGCCAAGAGCGGCAAGATCACGCTCACGGGCGGCACGGGCGGCGTGAGCCGCTCCGCGGCCGCGGCGACGGGCGACGAGGTCACGGCCAAGGACGTCGCCGCGGCCGAGAAGGCGTCCGCGGCGGCGGCGAAGAAGGCCGACAAGGCCGCCAAGGCCCTGGCCGACGGCGAGGACGCCCTCAAGGACGCGCTGCGCCAGCTCAAGCGCCTCGCGGAGCTCGTCGTGCCCACGCTCGAGGCCGAGCTCGCGGCCGGCGCCGACACGCGCGCGCGGCTCGCGTCGCGCGTCGGCGAGCTCCGGGCCGCCGCCGAGGTGTCGGCGTCGACGAAGCAGGCCGCCGCCAAGCTCGAGAAGGCCCTGGCGTCGAAGCGCAAGGCCGCCGACGCGGCCCAGGCGGCCTTCGACGCCGTCGACGCCGACGTCGCGGAGCTCCGCGCCGCGGTGCTCGACGCGGGCGGCCAGGCCCTCAAGGACGCCGTCGCCAAGGCGGAGATCACGCGGGCGCTGGCCGACGACGCGGCCAACGAGGTCGAGGCCATCGGCGTCGCCGTCAAGGCCGCGGCCAAGGCCGGCGCGAAGGCGGCGAAGGCGCGCGACAAGGCGCTCGCGGACGCCGCGGGCCTCCGCGCCAAGCTCGAGGCCGCGGAGGACGAGGTCGCCGCGCTCGCCGAGGCCCAGGGCGCCCTCGACGCCGCCAAGGACGAGGCCCTCGCCGCCTGCGACGCCGCCGCGGACGCGCTCGCGGAGAAGCGGCGGCGCCTCGAGGCGCTCTCGTCCGACGCGGACGCGATCAAGGCCGTCGAGGCCGACATCGAGACCCAGGTCGACGACTACGCGCGGGCCCTCAAGGAGAACTCGACCAAGGCCGCCCACTGGACCAAGGAGCTCGCCAAGCTCGCGAAGGAGCACGCGCGCGAGGTCGCGGACTTCGCGGACGTCTTCGCGGACCTCGCGGCGCGCGCGGCCGAGGACGCCGAGGACGAGGCGGCGGCGGCCGAGGCGGCGGCCGAGGACGCGGCGGCGGACGCGGCCGAGGACGCCGACGCGGCGGACGCGGACGCGCCGCCGGCGCCGCCGGCCGAGGGCGCCGCGGAGGCCGAGGGCGAGGCCGCGCCGCCGGCGCCGCCGGCGGGCGCCGCGGACCCCGCGGCGCTGCCCGTGGAGGCCGACGAGGCGCTGGCGGAGCTGGACAAGGAGGAGGTCAAGTACGCCATCGCGCTGCTCGAGGAGGAGCGCGACGGCATGAAGGCGACGGTGAACCTCAAGACGATCGCCGAGTACCGCGCGAAGCAGGCGGAGTACTTCGCGCGCCTCGACGAGCTCGAGCAGGTCACGGCGGCGCGCAACGCCGCGCGCGAGGCGCTCGAGGCGCTGCGGACGAAGCGCCTCGACGAGTTCATGGCGGGCTTCGGCGCGATCACGCTCAAGCTCAAGGAGATGTACCAGATGATCACGCTCGGCGGCGACGCGGAGCTCGAGCTCGTCGACTCCCTCGACCCCTTCTCCGAGGGCATCGTCTTCTCCGTGCGCCCGCCGAAGAAGTCCTGGAAGAACATCGCGAACCTCTCGGGCGGCGAGAAGACGCTCTCGAGCCTCGCGCTCGTCTTCGCGCTCCACCACTACAAGCCCACGCCCCTCTACGTCATGGACGAGATCGACGCGGCCCTCGACTACAAGAACGTGTCCATCATCGCCAACTACATCAAGGACCGCTGCCGGTCCGCGCAGTTCGTCATCATCTCGCTCCGGAACAACATGTTCGAGCTCGCGGACCGCCTCACGGGCGTCTACAAGACGCACAACGTCACCAAGACCATCACCATCAGCCCCGACGCCTTCGCCGCGACGCTCGCCCAGGCCCGGGCGCCCGCGGCGCCCTCGCCGCTCCGCGACGCGACGAACGCCGCGGTCCCCGCGGCGTGAGGGCGGCGCCCCACCAAGCACAAGATACAAGCACACCCACGTCCCCCCGCCCCCGCCCCGTCGTATAATGCGGGCTCGCCCCGACGAACGACCGACCGACGGCGCGCGGCGGGCACATCCGGGGTTACATTCTGGAGCCGCGCGCGCGCGGTCACGGCGACGCCGCCGCGTCGACGTCGATGGACTCGAGCCGCGTGCCCCCGTCGCGGCCCTCCTTCGCGGCCTGCATCATCTCCCGGAGCTTCGCCTCCTCCGCTCGCCTCTCGGCCCGCGACAGCGTCCGCATGCAGGGGTCGTCGTTGATGTTCGGCGGCTCCGCCGTCGGCGGCGCCTTGTCGAAGTCGGGCAGCTCCGTGACCTCGTCGGCCGTCGCCGACGCGGCCTCGGCGAGGAGCGCGTCGGCCTTGGCCGTGCCGGGCGTCGACGGGCCGCTCGATGAGCTCGGCATGCTGTGATGGTGCAGCTAGGGAAACTTTGTGTGCGAAGCGCGCTTCGTGAGGTAAAAGAGCTGCGAGTCGAGCTGGGCCGGCCGACGCGATGTCCAGATCCAGCAGACCCTCGGTGCTCTTCCCGGAGGAATGGGGTCCGCAGCATCACGACGGCGACGCCGCGTGGTGGGAGACGACAGAATATGCCCAACTCTCGCTCGAGTCTGCTGAGATCGGCATGATCGCGACGAGGCTCCGCCAGACATGCCCTTCGGCGCGGCTCGCGCGCGTTTGGCGCGTGATGAATCGCCTGCAGTGGAAGAACTATCGCGACTGCCGCCACGATATCAAGCGCCGCAATGAAGGAGACGCGAACGAAATGCTACTATTTCATGGCACGGGCCGGACGCGCGCTTCCGCCGTCCTGGACGATCCGAACGGCCTGGACCCTCGCCACAGCCAGGGCGGCGGGTTCTACGGACGCGGCGTCGGTGGCGGCGCCCCGCTTGAGTACTCTGCCTGAGCGATGATCGTAGGTGTACCTGAGCGAGCGGCCTGACTACCAAATTGGCGGGCGCTACGCCCACGTGTTTGAAAACGGAATCGCGGAGCTGCTGGTGGTCAAAGCGGCGCTGGGCACGCAGCAGGAGTTTGGTTTTCACGTCGACGCGGAGACGAAAAGCATGACTTTACCCGGACTTCGAAGCGGCTTCCAGCGATTCGACAGCGTCCGCGCTGGGCCGCACCGGCCGCATCGATCCGGCGTGGGCGAGAGCGGGCTGAACGCGTCCGTAATGCACGTCGTCTACGAAAAGCGCCAGTTGTATACTGCGTATCTCCTTCACGTCGAGTTGGCGATTCCTGCGCCAGAACCTGAACTCGTCTCGCGGTCGCCTTCTTCTTCCTTCTTCGCGGCGAGTCCGCCGCCGAGTCCGAGTCCCGACCGAAGCCGTTCGCGCCGCGGCCGCAGCCGCAGCCGCAGCCGCGACCGCAACCGCGCTCGCGGCCGAAGCAGCGGCAGCCGCAGCCGTGGCCGCAGCCGCGACCGCCGCCGCTAGACGCCCTCGCCGACCGCGGACGACGACCGACGTCGAACCGTCGCCTCGACTAAGCACGGGCTCATGCGAGCGAGAGTTAGCATTCGCCGCCGAGCCTAACGGCCCGCCCACATGGGCCGGGAGCCGTTGGCGACGACGGCGAGGAGCGACGCGAGGTCCGCGGAGACGGCGACCCAGAGGGGGACGTCGTAGGCGAAGGCCGCGGCGACGACGGCGAGCTTGAAGGCGACGCTCAGCACGACGTTCTGGCCGATGGCCGCCGTCGCGGCCTGGCCGAGGGCGACGGCCGCCGGGAGGCAGGCGAGGTCGTCGGTCATGATGGCCACGTCCGCCGCGTCGACGGCCATGGCCGTGCCGCCCGCGCCCATGGCGACGCCGACGTCCGCGGCGGCGAGCGCGGGCGCGTCGTTGATGCCGTCGCCGACGAAGAGGACGACGCGCCGCTTCGCGCGCGCGGCCCGCACGTAGGCGAGCTTGTCCGCGGGCGTGCACGCCGCGCGGACGTCGACGTCGCCGAGGCCGCCCGCGAGGGTCCCGATCTCGGCCAGGACCGCGTCGACGACCTCGCGTTTGTCGCCCGTGAGCACGGCGAGCCCGAGGCCCAGGGCGCGGAGCGCCGCGAGCGCGCCGGGCGCCTCGGCCCGCGCGGGGTCGAGCACGCTCAGCGCGAGGCCGACCTCGTCGTCGACGTCGACGAAGAGCGTCGTCGCGCCGCCGCGCGGCGGCGGCGCCCAGCCCGCGTCGGGCCCGACCTCGCAGTGGTCCGCCGTGCCCACGCGGACGTGGCAGCCCGCGACGTCGCCCGCGACGCCCGCGCCGGGCACGACGTCGACGCGCTTGACGTCGTCGCTCAGCGCCGACGCGGCCGCGTCGTCGCCGACGCAGCCGCCCGCGGCCTCGTTGACGACGGCCGCGGCGAGGGGTGCGCCGTGCGCGCCTCGAGCGACGCCGCGAGGCGCAGCATGCGGTCCGCGTCGAGCTTCGCCACGCCCGGCGCGTCGACGCGCCGCACGACGCGGCAGCGGCCCTGCGTGAGCGTGCCCGTCTTGTCCGCGCAGACCAAATCGACGGCCGCCAGCGCTTCCAGCGCCGCCGCGGACTTGACGACGATGCCCCGCTTCGCCGCCGCGCCGAGCGACGACACGACGACGATGGGCGCCGCGAGCACGAGCGCGCAGGGGCACGCGAGCACGAGCAGGACGAGGCCGACGCGCACGCTGACGAGGACGCCCGCGCTCATCGCCGCCGCGAGCACGAGGGGCGTGAAGACGGCCGCGAAGTTGCCGATCAAGTCCTGGGACCGCGTCGTCGACGCCTGCGCCTCGGCGACGAGGCGCGCCATCTCCGCGGCGCCGTCGGCGTCTCGCGCCCGCGAGCATGCGACCTCGACGAACCCCTGGGTCGCCACGGTGCCGCGCGACACGCCGTCGCCCTTGGCCTTTTGCACGGGCGCGGACTCGCCCGTGAGGCTCGACTCGTCGACGGCGGCCTTGCCCTTGGTGACGACGCCGTCGACGGGCACGCGCTCGCCCGCGCGCACGACGACGACGTCGCCGGCGACGAGCTCGTCCGCGTCGACGGACGACCCGTCGGGCCGCCGCGCCGCGTCCCTGCCGTCGCCGCACGCGACCTCCGCGAGCGCGTTGCGCACGCGGCGCATGCAGTCGTGCTCCGCGGCCTTGGCCGCGGAGGCCACGACGCAGACCGTCGCCGCGTCGGCGACGTCGCCGAGCGCCAGCGCGCCCGCGACGGCGACGAGCATCAAGACGTTGACGTCGAGGCGGCCGCCGGCCGCCGCGCCCGCCGCGTCGCGGAAGAGCGGCAGGCACCCGAGCGCGACGACGCCCAGGAGCGCGCGCTCCGAGCCCAGTGCTAGACCCGCCGCGAAGGCGCCGGCGAGCAGCGCGAGGAAGCCGAGCGTCTTGTAGTCCGGCGGGTCGAGGGCCGCGTCGACGGACGCGGCCGCGGCCTCCACGGACGCGCCTAAATTCACGCCGTTGAGCTTGTCGCAGATCTCCGCGGACGTGATCACGTCCGTGTGGTGCGACACGTAGGCCACGCGGCCGACGACGTTGACCTTGACGTCGGCCACGCCGGGCACGTCCGCCAGCGTGCGCTTGGCGAGGCGCGTCTCGCCCTCGCAGCACACGTTCTCGAGGCGGAACTTCGTGCGCGCGAGCGCCGGCGCGCCGCGCTCCGCGTCGTCGCTCGTCAGCGGCTTCTTCTCGGCGGCCGACGACATGATGGCACTCGAGCTTGCCGCCGGGCGCACGCAGACCAGACGACGACCGGGGAGACGCTCTCCCCCTGGCCTGGAGTCGCTTACTGCTAGCGGGCCTAGCCGAGACCCACGGGGGAACCCCGGGCGCCGGGGTAAAATCGATCGAATGTCCTCCGTGCTTCATGATCGACATTGTGCAGCGTTTTGGCGGCGCACTGCGATGGGATGGCCGTCTTTGAGGGCCCGCCGCTCCGCGAATATGCAGAATCGTGCAACGATCCCAGCAGCTGCGAGGGCCGCAAGGACGAGGGTGACGCACATGCGAAGACGCGACGCTCATACGACCGCGTGGCGACGGAACGGGGAGTA